CTTTAGGCTAGGCAAAAAAAATTTAACTACAAAAAAAGGTCTCCTAAACCTAAAAGGTATTAACTACAAAATAAGCACATTTAATACTCCAACATAGGGAGTTGAACGTAGAGGCGAAAATTTAGGCTAGGCAGAATTTTTTTAACTACAGAAAAGGTCTCGAAAACCTTAAAAGTATTAACTACTCCAACGTAGGGAGTAGAACGAATAGGAAAAATTTTATCAACATTCCTAGATTGTTAATAATAAGAGAATAATTAAATAACTATTCCTAAATTGTAGGAGAATTAATTAAATAATTATTCCTAAATATTGATGAAATACTAAAATTATTATTTTGTCTAATGTGAACTCTATATTTTGAAGGGTAAAAAAGGCGAACGACATTTTATTAAGGGCCTTCATGCTTTTAATATAGTACTAGTTTTAGGATACGCGCGTTATGCGTGTATTCCGTCTCAATGAGTATAAAATTTTAAAAGAATTATGCATATTTTATACTGACATTCATTTGAATTATAAACTAAAAGTTAAAAAAGAAGGTATAAGTTTTTGAAAATGATGATTGTTGATCTTATTTAGATTTTTTTTATAGTTAATTTTTTATTAATCACCAAGTGAAAATATTACAAAACAAACTTAGCTATTGATCTTATTTAGCTAATTACTCAATAAAGGAAGAAACTCACCTTGTAAAAATACTCAATCAACTCAATCAATTTATTCAACTTAATACTTAGTTCAATTTTATAATTTTATTATTTTAATTTCACAAGTTAAATTATGACAATAAAAGATACAAAATATAACTTACATGTGACAAGTAGTTATGGTCCAGTTTTAGTGACTTATATTAGTTAAATTCAAGGTGATTTGATATTAGCTTTCACATATGAATAATAAATTAAGTTAATCAGATTTTATTTGTAATATTACTTCACTTAATAGTTCTTTATAGACAAATGTTTCTTTGTGCATATTCCCTATATTGTCTCCAACATGTCCTGGAAATACATTAAAGGAACAAACATTGAATTAAATTCTTTTGCTAATTAGTCATTTCAATGATAAAATATTCTTGTTCTCAACATTAAAGAAACAATTATTTTTAATTGATTCAATTTTTAATATTAATTCATTATCCAATGGAAAGTCTATTTTCAAAAAGTAAACCGATCGTTACTTGACTTTTTTGTGTGTGTTTTAGAGTAATTAAGTCAAAGTAGAAATACTATCTCATCTAATTTTCAATAGATTTTCCAATGTGAAAGTCAAACTTCTGAATTTTCATCTTAATTTGAACATTTGTTTATGAATTTATAAAGTAATTAAACATTTATAATCAAAAGTATTTAAAAGAAGTAATTGAAAAGATTAAGAAAAATGCATAGTGTTGAGAGAATTTTAACGTGATTTTGATATTCTAATAAAACATGACAGTAAGCATATGCGTATTTTATAATTCTGAGAAATTATAAATATCATGAATTCAATATTCTATATAATCATATCCTAGTAATGGTTTGAGTAACATTAACTATTTAATTTTTGCGTGTTATAAAATTTAATAGTTTGTTTCTTAATAAGTTAATAAAAATAGACTTTACTTGTTATAATAGAAATTAACCCGAAAACTTCATCCATAATTAGTAGGAGATATCACTCTTGTCAATATATATTAAATGAAAATCAAAAAATAAGGAAAAAGGTGAAAAAGTAACATGCTTATGAACTAAAAGTCACCTGTCTATCTTTGATGGAGCAACATGTAATTTACTTATACTCGTTTTCATAATTCGAGGACTTAAAAAAACCCTTATTAGACTTTTTAAATTTTAAAAAGAAATGGCATTTTCTTATAGTTGCACGCATAGTTTTCAAAATTTATCTTGAAAGGTAATACAAGGACATTAAAAATACACATTCCTTAAGAATCAAATTATTGTAAAATTCAATGCCACGTCAAGTGATAGTTTTCAAATTTGCAAGGTCCTAAATATTAGGAAAAATAACATGGAAGGAATTATAATTATATTACATAGTTCAAATAAGGCAAGAAGTTATATAAGTTCAAAAATACTTAATGGATTTTAAAACCTAAAAATTAGGAATCCCTATGTAGTTCAAATAAGGAAAAATTTAATAAGAAAATTATTTAATTTTAAAGCCTTAAATATTAAGAAAATAATTAAATGACTATTTTGTCTAATGTGAAATTAAAATTTAAAGGGTTAAAAATCGAATGATATTTCGCTGAGGGCCTTCGTGTTTTTAATATAATATAGATAACTTCCATGAATAGATACAACAACAACAACAACCCAGTGTAATCCCACTAGTAGGGTCTGGGGATGGTAGTTTGTACGCAGACCTTACCCCTACCCTGGGGTAGAGAGACTGTTTCCGATAGACCCTCGGTTTCCTCCCTCCAAGAACTCCCACCTTGATCTTGGGGTGACTCGAACTCACAACCTCTTTGTTGGAAGTGGAGGGTGCTCACCACTAGAACAACCCACCCTTGTCAAACTTACATGAATAGTTAATTTATTATTATTTTGTATTCTTATTCATATAGGTAATACTAACTAGTTGAGATTTAGGTTTAGGCGTGGGTACACTTGAAATAGGTATGGACTTTGTAGAATATTGCTGGAACTTGTGATCCTAAAAAAAAAAAAAACCACCACCACCAAAAACAAAAGGGATCCGTAAGGAAGATTTGCTTAAGTCCATCAGGCACTGGTCATATGCCTGCATTGCAGCATAACCTTCCTACTTTAGCTTAATCGTTCTAGTTTTCTGTAGATCTATGTTCATTATCAAGTTTTCTTGTGATTGCATATGTAAAATGTTTCTCTTCGTCCACAGGGCTTGTCTGAACAAGCAGTAAATGCCTTTAGGATCATGAAGGGAGATGGTCTAAAGCCCAGTCTGTTAGCTCTCAATTCACTAATTAATGCATTTGGTGAGGATCGGAGGGATGCTGAGGCTTTTGCTGTATTGAAGTATATGAAAGAAAATGTGAGTTCACCTTTTCCTTTCTGTATATATACATGGCATGCTCATGACGATATAGTCTCGTGACTTACATACATATCCTAAAACTGCAGCATATGAAGGCAGATGTTGTTACGTACACCACTCTTATGAAAGCCTTGATACGTGTGGACAAATTTGAAAGGGTAAACCTTCTTACGCGGAGTCTTTCATCTATAGTTATAGTGTTGGAGTCTCCATTTTTGTATGGTGCGTCATAATTATTTTGTCTCTTGCATCTTCTTTTTAAGTGATATTATGCATATTAATGACTAAATTTTCTTATTTAAAAACCAAAATTCAGATCTTTAGATGCAGCAAAAGAATCAGGCTTGGCAAAAATGGCATAGGATTGCAGTGAATTGTACATTAATATTTTTGTCTTTGTCAGATTGACCTGATTGGCATTCTTACATCCTAGTTGTGTGGATCATGCTAAATATTTTGGCTTTCAGGTTCCCGCCGTTTATGAAGAAATGCTTTTGTCTGGATGTACCCCAGATAGGAAAGCTAGAGCAATGTTACGATCCGCTCTGAGATACCTGAAGTCCACGTTGAAATAGTAGTAGACTGTGCAAATCATTGTCACAAAAAACGATTGAAATTCTAGCCATTCTAACAAAAGGACCATGATGAACCGAGATGTTTCAGTTTGACTTTCAATTTGAGGCAAGTGAATCCTCTAAATGCTTATTTGAGTTAAACAGTGTGCTTTGGAGTTAGTATGGGTATTCAAATTAGAAAATCTCTTTTTCTGGTGATTAAGTTCTGCTGAAATTACTAGAAAGTAGAAACATTGAAGAGTATATTTGAACATGAAAAATCTAGTTTTCCTTAGAAGCTTACCCGCTAATTTATCCTGAATTATTTAATTTTGTAGGCTGTGGTTCACGATTGTGCATTGACCTATGATGCAATTCAAAATTGTTCCATGTTTGACTTGACAGCCAAATCTGGGGACAACGGCAGATAGAGATTCAAGGTGAATAAAGGATCCAAGGTCCATATTCGTCCCAGCATTCTTTCAGCTACACACTTGTACAGTTCTTATAGCAGCAAAAGAGCATATTCAGTTTCTTTTCTTTTTGCGGTAACATGTGAAGTGTCATATTTATACAATGTTGTTTTAGAGTCATGTTATATCTTATGATAAGAGGTTACAATTAAATATCAGCTTGTGGATAGAATCTAGCAAATGACTGAGCTCCTTAAAAACCTGTCTTCCTTTCTCGTTGTGGACGTGTAACAGATTATAAGTCTGTTTGGCCAAGCTTCTTCAAACCCAAAAGCATTTTTTTTCAAAGTTGAAGTGTTCCAGTTTTTAGAAGACAAAAAAAATTCTTTTAAGAAGAAGCAGAAGCACTTTTGGAGAAGCAAAAAAAAAAAGTAGTTTCTCCCCAATAACACTTTATTGAAAAGTATTTTTGAGAAAAATACATTTAGAAGCATTATCTAAAAGTTTGGTCAAACACTAATTATTGTTTAGAAGTGCTTTTCAAATTAATTAGGCAGAATAGCTTAAATGGCACTTATACTTGAGCCACTTTGTCATGCCGGTCCCCAAACTTAACAATTTGTCAATTGAACACTTACACTCCTTCAAACCGTGTATAATAAACGCTTATGACACGAGCCTGATCCTATGTGTCATATTTGGTTTTAGTGCGTGATTCACACGACTGTATGGGGCGTGAGGGCAGTTGAAAAAGCCCTAACGGTAATAATGTGGCCTATTTAACAATCATCTTCTTCTTTCTACCTTATTCTCCATTGTTGAACATTATAGAAGCTGATTTCTATCCAAATCTGATGTCTTCTTCTTTCTCGTGTTAGCTTCAACAATGAATTTTTGTTGGGATTCTTCATTGCCCATCAATTTGTACCATCTTCTTTTCTTTTAAAAGTTAATTTTTTTCTTCTTCTCCGGCAAGAAATAAACTACTGTCGCGTCTTCTCCTTCATCAATGAAGAAGGAACCTTTGTGTTATTGTGGACCTGCTGCAGATCTTAAAATGTCACGAACACCTACCAATCCTGGAAGAAGGTTCCTAGGTTGCCGAAGATATGAGATTGGTGAAGGTTGTGGCTTTTTTCGATGGGTTGATCCTGCGATTGAGGAAGAACACTACAAGACTTTTCTTGCAGGTCTTATTAAGAAGAGTGATCGATGCCATTGTCAGAGAACACAAGAAAGGTCGAAATTCAGAGTTGTTGCTATTATAATTGCGGTTGTAGTTGTTCAAATATTAGCTCTTATGTTATGTGTTTAGGATTGATAGCGTACTTTCTTATTTCCTGGGTTTAGGCTACAAGTACAGGAACTGCTAATATCATGGCCTGGTATAGGCAGTTAATAAAACATCCAAAATAAGAAAGTTGCCTTGCAATCAACAAAAACATAAATAATGAAGTAACTTTACAAAATATTGTCTACCATAGGCAGTTAACAAAAATATCCATCATTAAGTCTTCAAAATATCAGTTGATCACTTCAATTAATGTCTGTTGTGGCTTGGTTGCTTGGTGTGGATTGTGTCTTTGGTGTGGCTTAAATGGTTGTAGCAGAGTTTGCCCTTCTGTAACTCTGTTCTTGCAGCTGCCTTTGTGTAACTGCAGCTCGACCCTTCCACTTTAGACTAGGGTGTTTGAACCTAAGTTCAATATTGGTAGGGACAGAACTTATGAGTGTAGAAGGATTGTGTACTACTCTGTCAGTAGTTCCAGACTGCACAAAGATAAAAGGTTGTGAGTGAGGGATTATCTAGTAAACCATATCTGTTGATTGTGTAATTAAGTGAAAATATTTACCCTTTGTATCACAGTGCCACTTGAATCAAATAGCACACCATATCATGTTGCCTTTGGTCTCTTAGACCCTGTATTTGCACCACCTCTTCTAGGCTCATTGGTCTTCCTTTTTGGACCTCTAGCAACATTAGTTGATTGTTGTATGCTTGGATTAGTGATTGGTTGAGTGAAGGTGCCACTTTCCATAGTTGAAGTTGTTGTTGTTGATCCAGCTGTTGCTGCTGATGCACTTCCACTAGTTCCAGCCCTTCCACCTACTGCTGTTGATGAAGCATTTTCAGCAATTTCACCTCCAACTGAACTAGTTCCAGCCCTCCCCCCTTGGTTTCTCTGCATACACATAACAAAGCAAATATTAGTAATTGAATTCATCTAATAATGAGCACAAAGAACATTAATATTTACTGCTGATGGACATCCTTTCTTGTTATGTCCAAGAGTCTTGCACAAACAACATCTCATTTGTCTCCCTATCCTTGTACCCTTCCCAAACTTCTTTTGTGGTTCATCAGCAGCTTTTCTCCTTTTTTTCTTTGGCCTTCCTGGCATTGCAGTTATAACAGATGGCTCAATAGTTGGCAGTGTGGTTTTTGGCCACAAATTCATACTAGTTAAAGGTTGAATGAATCTGTTGTAAGCCTTAAGGCAGGTGTCCTTCCTATACCAATGGTCAACATATAGCTCAATCTCATAGTTCTTATAATGCATAGTTGTAATTGCATGTGCACGTGGAATTCCTTTGAGTTGCCATGATCTACAAGTACAGGAACACATCCTAAAGTCAACAACAAGTTTATATGGCCCATCCCGGATCTCATACCATGTTTCACCATTAAATTTGACTTCACATTTTACTGCCCTTTGAGCATTCTCTCCAAGTATTTCCACAGCCATGGGTGATATATCACCTACCCATTTTTCAGAAAACTCTCTCATGCTATTCATCCTCTCCATACACTTGATTTTAATTTCCTCTAACATAGTAATGATAGATTTGTACCTAACTGTCAATATCCAACTATTGAATATCTCACACATGTTGTTCTCCACTACATTACACTTACTATGTTCTTTGAAGTATGCCCTACACCATGTCTCCTTGCTGTATTTCAATAAGTCTTGAACAATATCTCCCCCCAGCTGGTCCATTTCATCCAACTTCTTGCTAAAGTAAACTTCAAATATAGCTCTTGCACACTGCCATAATTTTTTCCTTCTTTTCTCACCGGGCCAAGTTTGCTTCCAATTAGCCCATATATGTCTAGCACACCACTTCATCTCAGCTACTAGCAAGTTAGATTAGCTACATTGCTCTCGTTCTTAATTATGCGACAGGGACGGATATGTCCACTTTTCAGGTCTCAATGCGACGGGGTCAAAATTAAATAACTTAATTCGAGAACAAAACACAATATACTTGGCCTTTATACCGTGAAAACAAGAAGAGAGTACTGCTTATTGATTAGTATAATATAATTAACCATACTTATTTTCATACTAAGTTATTTTTGTTAAAGAGGAAAATCCGCAGCCGCTACACTTAGTGCGCACTGGGTAAATTACCTCCCTGGTGTAATAGCCTGCAAACCACATAGAGGAGGTAATCCGCACTAGGCAAGCCATGTGCGACAGGTTCAACCCAGAAGGCATTGAGGGGGATTCAATCCCAGGTCATCCGTATGGATGAACATGACCGCACGGATGACCGCCCTCCAAACCAATTGGACAACCCCGAAGGATTTTTTTCATACTAAGTTATATCACAGATATTTGTGTTTTTTTTTTTTTTTTTTTTTTTTTTTTCTTTTGATATTTGTGTTAATTTGCGCTGCTAAACCAATACGACATATTGCCGCTGGATCATGAGCAACCCACTGTGATTCCAATCCAAACATGATACTAGTAACAAGTTAAATGACAAGATACAGCTATTTTACACTGTTATTTTGACGAGTCACCTACATGTTTGTTTGTCAACCAACAAATTTGGAAATTTAGACGTAATAGTAATTGACAATATGTTGTATACGGCATTACCAGCTGCCCACTTCTCCGATCTAATTAGTCACATCATGGCTGATTCATTTTGTCAATAGTAATATCCTTGTGACACTTTTTTTATAATTGCAGTGATGTTAAGGTAAGGTGATGCAAAATCGTTAACTTTTCTCTTCCCATTTAGATGGCTGGCCTTGAATTGAATGGCTACTTGTATGCATGTGTACAAAGATTTCCAGATCAATGCGTCTGAAAGATTGACTTTTTTTTTAATTTTATAACCGTGGTGTTCGGGCCAGCTACCCGTCGACTTCCCACCAGCAACAGGTACCGGGTAACTATATCCATCAAAGTTTGGATAGATAGGAAGAAACACTTAGTATTTTTTGCCTCCGCTTGGATTTGAACCTAAACCTCATGGTTCTCACACACTTCATTGACCACTAGGCCACACCCTTGGGTACAAGATTGACTTCCAATTATACGCAACGAGTTTTTTGGATATATACCAAAGATAGCTAATGCCCAGAAAAAGCTTTTAGACTCGGTCCATAATGATACTGTATTGTTATAGTTGTTGCCCTTAAATTCTGCGTTCTTTGCTCTTGCTATGTCTATGTCCAGGATTGACTATTCTTTTTTTTCTTTTTTTTTTATTGGATTGACTATTCTTAGTTTAGATTTAAAAGATTTTTTTTCTTTTGAAATTACTCAACTACTATATATGTAGAGTTCAAGCAGAGGATAATGACTTCAAGTATATATACTTGCTGCAGGCGTATGTTCTGGCAAACAACTATTATCGAATCTATTTTCTCAAACTTAAATTAGGCATCTTATTTGACTCATGTTAAGATAATAACTAAATTAGCTGTGTTTATTGTTATATTGAAACTTAAATTACTATGAAATTTTCAGTCATTTATTACTCTTTTTTGTCAATTATATCCTTACTGTTTCAATTAGTGAAGTGCTAATTACTTGAGATAGTTTATGCAGCGAGAAAGGATAACTTAGAATAAGGCTATCAAATGTCTTTCTTAACGGGTGTACAAAACTCACGAAAGAAAATAAATTAAATGGACAACGTATATGGAGGAGAAACAGCTTAGGTATTTCAATTTGCGATAAACAGATCTTTATAATTGTGGTGTTATGATTTAATGATCGTGTAGAATAAATAACTTTTTCCAATTATTTTCTCTTTTCACGTTGTGCGTCGTGTTAGAATTTGAATAATAATTATAGACTTACCTTAAAATGCTTAGAAGTTCTAATTGCGCTACTTCTCTATAGAAGTCAATTGTTTTCTACACCAATAAGTCTACGCAAACTCATGATAAAGTCAAACAGCATTCCAAAAATATATTCACAAACTAAGTTAGTGTTTGGATATAGATTTCGTTAAAACATGAAAAATAAATTTTTGAAGATGAGATGAAAAATAATTTTTAAAAGTTAAAAATTTGTTTGGATATGCATTTTACTTAAAAAGAATTTGATGTTTTGTGAGGGATATGCGGCAATCACTCAAGCGCAGAATCTTTGGTGTTGAAATTGGTACGGACAGGATATTACTGGCCTCGCATGAAACAAGACACCAAAGATTTCGTATGAAAATGTAATAAGTGCCAACGCTACGCATCACTAGTACATCAACCGACAAAACCCTTACATTCGGTTCTGTTCCCATGACCATTTATGAAATAGGGGATGAACATCGTCGGACCGCTGCCACTGGCTCCCGGAAAGGTAAGGTTTCTTTTAATTTTGACTGATTATTTTTCTAAATTGGTGGAAGCAGGTTCTTATCAGAAAATCGGAGAACGCAAAGTGATCGATTTCCTGTGGAAAAATATAATTTGCAGGTTCGGAATACCAAAAGAGATAGCATGCGACAATGGCCCACAGTTTATCGGTACAAAAGTTACAAGGTTCTTCGAAGACCTGAAAATAAAGAGAATCACATCCTCACCTTATCATTCGAACTGCATTCCAAAAACGTATTCACAAACTAAGCTAGCGTTTGGACATAAATTTCGTTAAGACATGAAAAAATAAATTTTTGAAGATGAAATAAAAAATAGTTTTTAAAATTTGAAATTTTGTTTGGATATGTATTATACTTGAAAAGAATTTGAAATTTTGTGAGTGGAAAACATTGATTTCAAGGCCAAAAAATGATCAAAATCTATAAACAAATAGATATTTGAAAACAAAACTTGAAAAAAAGCTCCAAAATTTTATGATCAAACGGGAGCTAAGTCTCGTATTGTGCTATTACAAATGTCATCTTTACCAAAGTAACTGCTGAGAGATTTCCTTTGTATACATGTGGATTATGACTCCTGCATAATAAAACATCTATTTCCCTTAATATGACTTAGAATATGACCCCAAAAAACTATGGCAGTGCCAAATTTTTGAAACAAAATGATCAACCAAAATCCAACCAATAACTTCA